TAGAAAATCACTGCAATGTTAACATCTGTATAAATGCGACTAGAGTTTGTAACAGGCATCTGTGAATACCTTTCGGGTTTTATTTGTGTATGTCTCCCTGTATCTAGTAACACACACACAGAAACCCACATTTTGCAAAAATATAGAAATATTGTATAGTATTTAGAAGCATTGTAGAACCTTGTTTTTCCCTTAGCCCGTCTTTTCAAACACTGACATAAACTTTTTAGGCTGTACGGAGGCATAACTTACTAACCAAGCGATGTTTGGACTCTTCCTTTCCAAGTCCCCACCATTTGTATGCTGAACTTCTTAAGGTTACAGTGCCCGACGCAGATTCAGTCAAGAGGTCAGCGCACCGAGGAGGTGTTCATCGCTGACGCCGCTTGGCTGTGCCGTGACACTCTCCGGGGAGACTGTGTTAAAGGCATCTTAACCATGTGCTTCCCAAGCACTAAAGCTGGCCCAGTCAGCAGGGCTGGGCTGTCGCACCAGGCGTCACTAGTACATGGAAAGACCTTGGCACTCTGGGCCTTACATACGTCGCCTCGCTCGGTCAACAATACCTAAAACTTCATAAAGTGCATTTTCTTCCCTTGCTAAAGGCCATATGATTAGGCGAGGGAAACCCCACAACTTAATTTCCTAGGGATGGATACAATGGTGAACTCATTTATTTAATTTGCATGGCTTGAGACAAGGTTTCGTTCTATAGACTGGCCTTGAACTCGTATGTAGCCCAGGACAGATTCAAACTCAGAGCAGTCCTCCTGCCTCAGCCTGCTAAGGCTGGGATCGCAGGCACAAGCCGCCATGTGCCGGCATACGTCTTAAACAAACAGAAACTGTGTATGTCGTTGTTTATATCCAAGCCATTTACATGGCAGAAATACCCCGCGGTTTACTGCTGAGAGGCACGACACTTTGTGTGGCAATAATTAATGACACTGTGTAGATGAATGAAAGAAATCCTAGCACAGCACTCACCTGTAAGCCAATGACACTTTGACCAGCCTTTAATTTGCCCTCATCAAAACGTCTGGTTTGTTTTTCCGCATACTTAACGCCAATGTCAATGGTTGTGTGGAATCCTTTTGTTTTCGCCTAGACAGGAACACATTCACCAACTGAGTTGGAACACAGATATTCTGCCACAAGGTTTTGAAGAGGAAACGACAAACAAATGATGTCCACAGATAGGCTTCTGGGGTGAGATCATGTCATACCAGAGGCAGAAAACACACTTAGGGCTATTCAATGATAATACTGTACCCTTTGAAATGTGAGGGTTCTAATTAACCCATCAAGCACAAGCTGATGTCAGCAGCCTTTTTGCAAAGCCAGCAATTACAGAAGACACAGGTCCCTCCCCACCAGGTCTGTGAATCCCTGGGAGAACAATGATGTAATTCATTACCTATGTGCAGGGAAGTTGTTTAAAAAAAAAAAGTGAAGAGCATGTACATACCAGACCTGCCAGAGCCACTAGTGTCGTCTGAACCTGGGTCATGTTGCCATTCTCAAATAGATCATTTGCTTCAAATATGTCATGGGGCTTCATACCATAAGCCTGAATGGCTTTAATAAAGTTGCCAATATTCTCCAGCTGTAAGCAGAAAGAATCACGTAAGGTTTGGAGTTACATATGGATACACCAAGACTCTTCAGTCTCGATGACAAGACACCAGACAGAGGCTTTTTGGTGAGGATTCTCTATCCAATATACAGTAAGCACACAGCTTATTCTGGAAAAGGGCTTATAGAATAGCCTTTTACAGTAGATTCTTTTTAAAATGCTTTTTTACTGTTCTTGTTTCGAGACAGAATCTCACAAAGCTCAAAATGGCATCAAACTGGCTATAGGGCCAACAGGATATTAAATTTCTGATCCTCCTGCCTGGACCCCACCCTGCAGGCCTGGCGATCACAGGTGAGCGCTACCGCAGCTATCTGTGCTGTGCTGGAGATCAAACCTAGGACTTCCTGCGTGCTGGGCAGGCACTCGACAAACCGGGCCACATTCCCTGCTTTCTAAGGGTCGTTATGGGCAAAGCTGGCCAGGTGTGACTGTGTGTGTGGTACACATTTATGCACTTAGGTGCATGTGCCTATGCGTATGTGCAGGGTAAAGGTTGCTCTACTGCCTCCCCTCCCCCAGCTTCCTCTACTTCATCGACTGAGGTAGGGAGCATCGCTGATACACGCAGGACTCACCTACTAACCCAGTCTAGCTAGACAACTTGCCCTGGCTGTTCCCTGTCCCCCACGCAACTGGGATTCTGGGTCTAGGTCCACCCTGCTTTTGCGGGGACCTGAGCCCCAGGCCCATCATCCTTCCACGTGTTTAAAAATTCCACGTCAGAGCTGTCCAGGCCTGGACTTTTCTTTGTCGAAAGTTACACACATATAGCAATCGTTCACTGTGCGTTTTAACTTTAGTTTCAAAGCGAGTGGATTTCGAAATGACCACTGTCTCCCGAACACACTGAAGACCAACTAAGTAGCCAATGTCCTTCTTCGTATGAAATGAAGCTGCGATGCAATGCAATGTTCCATCATAAACTGAGAGTCACTGCATTAAATGCCTTGTTCTCTTCCCTTCACTCTTTTTTTTTTTTTTTTTTTTGAGGGGGGAGGTTTATTTGGCTTACACTTCCACATCACTGTTCATCACTGAAGAAAGTCAGGACCGAAACTCAAACAGGACAGGAACCTGGAGGCAGAAGCTGAGGCAGAGGCCATGGAGGGCGCTGCTTACTGGCTGCTCCTAAAGGCTTGCTCAGCCTGCCGCCTTTCTCGTTTTTAATTCTTCTCTTACCTATTACATCCTGATCTCCACTTTAGTCTACGGTCTGTACGGCATATGTGTAAAATTGTATCAAATCTTTCCAAGCAGACTGATTAAATGCAGAAAATGTCTAAAACTAAACTTAAGAAGATTAAAGGACCATTCAAAAAACAATAATGGCAACATTTTTAATGGCAAAACCAAATATAGGCATGTGGACAATTTTGTGTGTTTGACTTTTTTCATCAAATAAAGAAACTGAGGTGGTGCAGCTCGCTTGCAACTCTAGGTCTTTCTAAGTTCTGTCCATCATGGAGTTTATAATGACTGTGAGGCCAGCCTGGACTACAAAATAAAACTCTTGTGTCAAACAAGAAAAGGAAAGGAGGGAAGGAGAGGGAGAGAGGGAAAGAAGGGAGGGAAGGAAGAAGGAAGAAGAAAAAAAGAGGTAGAGAAACAAAGGGAGGAGAAGAGAAAGG